GTTTTATCGTGCAATCCTGATATTCCTGAGAATCCCAGGTCCAAGGTTTGCACTGCAGAGTTTCCTCCCAGTTTGACTTTAAAAGACTTAGGAACGCTGAATTCCTTCTCTCGTACTTCTTTGAAAAAGTCTGCTTCGTTAAAGGTCACATCATTCCTATAGAGTGTTCGCGGAGCAGAAGCCGCGCTCCAATAACAAAGTAACCTAATGCTAGTGTAGCCGAGTTTTATTTTCGCCTGCACTAGTCTGGAGAGAAGTCATAAATAGTGATATGATCTTTTAAAAAAACATAAAAGGAAGAAATTTTCCCATACTGATTGGGAATGCTAGAAGGTTCTTTAAGTTATTTCTCTGAAAATAAAAAATTCCGTATAGAATTTAAAGAACACTAGAAATACTCTTCTAAATAGCAGCTAGTTTTTGAAATTACCGCATCATTTACCTCGTATTCTTGCTTCATTCGGCACATTAGGTTGTTTTCCACTTCCATTCTTGACCTATGTTTCGTCCTTTTGTGATAATTCCGCGCTCTTCGTGACGAGTATTGTTGGGGACAAAAAGGGCAACCAAATATGGTAGTTCCACTTTCATTCAATTTCTGTATCCGTCTCGCTGATTTAAATTGATCGAGCATAGTCTTGTCATAAGAGTGTTTATCCCAAAGGTGTCTGTACATTTGTTTTCCTGCTATGGCTTGGCCACATTCGGGGCAATGATCCTGCAATTGTTTCTGAGTAAGAGTTATGTTTAGTATTGTGTCTCACAGCAAATTAAAATCACACTTACAAGTCTTTCAAAAAAAGAAGGCTTGGGTTTTTTCTTTTGCCTAACCGGACCACTGTAACTGATCATCCCTTCAGAATCCATGACCTAGTAAGAGAAGAGATACTAATGCATTCACAGAGCGGAAGATACATAAGATGACTCAAGCATGTGAAAGCTCAGATATTTCGCGTTAGGTCGTAAGCGGACTGTCGGGTTACGGTGTCGCCAATGTCCTATCATTTTTGTCGCATGTATTCTTTTCTTACAAACGTTTTCAAGAACACATATCGTTAGGGTAGAGTTCATTTATTGTTTTAAAAGCTCATTCGAACATATTTGGTTCTCTAGAGGAATAGCAGTTCTGTTCTGGCAATGGCGTTCTTTTATTTATTTAAAATTATTTTGAAGCCTCCGGTTAAAAGGAGAATGACAATAAGCATGACAAAATGATCATTTTCCAACAATTCCACAGAGAATTGACAATCATCATCAACATCTCCCTAATGCTTCTCCACATTTCAATAGAAATATATCTAACAATAAAACAGCTTGAGGTAATGAAATGACGGATGTTAGAGATGTAAAGCACAAAGTAGAAGAATCTGTATGGTGGGACACTGCTAAAACTGACAACGCTTGGTGGCATTCAATCGTTAAGGCCATTATAACGGCTGGACCGGTAAGTATTGTTTTTTTTTTTTGAAATTAAATGATGCTTTTACAGTTGAGCTATTTTCAACCGGCATCATGATACTAATTTTTTTCTGAATATTTCTGTTTTTAAACCAAGCCTTACTTTTTAATTTGCTAATCGCAATTATTTGAACGATTTAATGAGTGTAAAATGTATTTTTTCATGTTCCCTACCATGTAGCTTTCGTTATGGATGGAAATCGGCGATTTGCTAGGTCGCACCATCTTGGGCGAGTTATTCGTGGGCATGAAAAGGGTTTCCAGCAGTTGGCTAAGGTATTTCTCAAAGTTTTAGGCTTTATGTACTTTTCGGATGCCGTTGTATATATTAACCACTTACAGTAGCTTACAAATTTCGTCAGACTGGCTATGCTTCCAGGTTTTGGAATGGTGTCAGGATCTTGGGGTTCGTGAAGTGACTGTTTACGCGTTTAGTATAGAGAACTTCAAGCGCAGCTCCGAAGAAGTAAATGGGCTAATGCATTTGGCAGAAGAAATGTTCGCGAAGCTTCTTGCTGAAAGGTTGCTTGTTATTTTTTTTTT